TTAGCACCACCCGTTTCCAGTGCTTCCGTGGACTCTTGTGTTCTAGCGGATCCTGAACCTCCCTGTGCAGCGGATGACGCGCCAGGAAATGAAACAGAGCATGAGCGAGCTGGTTCTGGGGTGTGTTGCGCGACAGCGGGGCCCTATGCCGAAGCTAAGTCTACAGGTTTGGGTAGGCGGATTAGGTTCCTTAGTCGTCCTGAGTCGGAGCCAAGCGTCAAGCAAACGAAGGACTTGCCCGAGAACTTGTGTCAGAGCATAATGCTGGATCGTGAGGGCTGCAAACCAGCAGGGGTAACTTGGAGTGGCCTGATGCCTGGCAGCGCCCCACAGCATCAAGATGCGTCTGGTAGTCTAGGAGAATTCTTTGGTAGTGACAGTGTAGTTTTGGGAGAGGGTCAGGTTTTGCCGAAAGGTGACAGAAAATCCCTTGATCACAACTATGCTACCGCGCGCCATGCAGGACCTTCTAAGGCCACATCCTTCGGGCAGAATAGGTCCTACAGTGTGAAGCCTAATTGTGCACGGGGTCGGGACTTTCCGAAAGGTTGCAGAAAATCCTCGTGTTTCAATTCAGTCCCGAGCAAGGTGGGCAATTTGGTGCCTTCTTGGTTTCCGACTGGGAGTAGTCCTAGTTTAAATTTAGACCTAAACTTCAAAAACTTGTGGGACCCGTTGAGGACAGTGTGCCAGTTGCAAGAACACCTAGAGGGCCGCGTGAGCGCAGGCGTCACCGGTTGATCTATGCTTACACGGGGGCTCACCGTCTATCGGAAGGTGCTCCCACCAATTGGCAAGAGATCCCACCCCTGATAGCCAATCAACCGCTTCCGGAGGACAGCTTTTCTGTCATACCAGCTGCGTTGTGGATCTTCAGAGATCGGGATTGGCAAGAGGACCCGGAGCTTGAGTACTTTGATGACCAAGATCGAGCACATCCTTTGGCGAGAGTACTGCAAGGAAGCATGACAATCCTCCCAGCGGTAGGAGACGTCATTGCAATGTTTGAGTTTCTTGAGTACGCCACAGGTGTGAGGTGGTTTATGGTTCTTCGAAGGGTTTCGGTAGGCACGGATGGGCCTGCCAATGCCAGGGACGACGATGAGCTGAGAGATCTCAATAGGGATTCCGAAACAGATGACGATGACGAGGGACCTGAGAATCCAGGCCCCAGACTTCCTCCACTGGGTGTGGAACCGGGCAGATTGCCACGGTTGGCAGCTCTTCGAGTCCAAAGCCCTCAACCTCCTTCTGAGCAGGCTCAAGTTCCCTCCACCAGTTCACCATCCACGGCTTCGGCAGCCGTTCAATCACAACCTTGGGCTTCGCAATGTTTCAGAGGGACTTCGCAGCAACGGCAAGGTCTATCGAGTTCCGCCAGCGCCAATGCGACTTCTCACACGAAGCGTCCCAGAAGGCCTCGCCTTAACAAGACGGCTCCAACCACCACAAAAGGCATTGAGGATCTTCTGAGTTCGCTAACTGAACCCCTGGGTGTTGTTCATACCGTTGATGCGGCCGAGGTAAGACAACATTTACCCAGATGGAGGGCAGCTGTGCTTAAGGAGCTAGAGAGCCTCCTCCGTCTTGGTGCCATCAAACGACATCAAGGTAGAGATGCCCGGAGGTATCTTGAGCACACGCGAGTGCAACCGATACCGTCTAAGGTGGTTTGGACAGTCAAACCACCTGAAGCTGGAAGTGACTCCTTCTTCAAACGCAAGGCGCACATTGTCGCATGCGGCAACTTTGAGGCCGCTACTGACGAACAGGTCTTTGCATCGGGAACTACGGTAGAGGTCCTTAGGTTGAGCTTGACTTCTTGTGCCCAACGCCGTTGGTCAGCTGGCGCGGCTGACATTCGAACAGCCTTTTTGTTGGCACCGGTGCCAACCGGTGTAAATCATGCCGTATATCCACCCGCCATTCTCCAGACGCTGGAGATAACATCCGAGGGAGAGGTATGGCAAGTTTGTAAAGCACTCTATGGTTTTCGCGAATCACCGCGATATTGGTGCGACTACCGCAACCAGGTTTTACAAGCCTTTGAATTTGCTTACCAGGGAGAGACCTACAAGCTGCGGCAAGGACGTTTGGAGTCCAACTTGTGGATTGTCTATCGCAAGGATCAGCCGGAATCCTCCTTGGAGGGCTACGTGCTGGTCTATGTGGACGATTTGCTGTTCATGGCACCACAATCTTTAGCAACAACTCTCCACAAGGCTCTCGCAGAAATGTGGGAAATCTCCAACTTGGAGTTTGCAAGCAAAGAACCCTTGAGATTTTTAGGTGTTGAGATAGGTGCTTGCGAGGGAGGTTTTTGGCTTTGCCAGTCTTCTTACATAGATGAACTGTTGAGATCCCACAACATCCCTTCCAGCAGCAAAGCAAAAATCCCAGCACCGCGGGAGTGGTTGAACGTTGACCCAGACGGCCAACAGGAAAATCCCTCTACGGCTGACGTGAGGTTGGCGCAAAGGTACGTTGGAGAACTGCTTTGGCTCTCGCAAAGAGCGAGGCCCGACCTTCAATTTACTGTTGCAATCGCGGCCAGCCTCGCCTTGCATCAACCGAAACGCGTGGCTGCCATAGCTATGCGTACTCTGGCGTATCTGCAATCCACGCGTTTTTACCGGCTTCGTTGTGTGCCTACCACTGAAAGCGGTGCGGATTTGGTGGCATACAGTGATGCAAGTTATGCTCCAACCGGAGGAAAAAGCCACGGCTGCGCCGCCGTCTTTTTCAATGACGTGGCAATATGTTGGAGGAGTTCGAGGCAACCTTTTACAACTCTTTCAACGGCAGAGTCAGAGTTAGTGGCAGCTTCGGAAGCTGCCCTCATGCTGATTTCCACGCAGGCTTTGTTGACCGATGTTCTTCCAGAACAAGAGGCGCGTCTATCCCTGAGGGTGGACAACAAGGCGGCGGTATCCATTTCCTCAGAGGGGATGGGCTCGTGGCGCACCCGCCACCTCAAAATCAGGTATCATTGGCTGCGTGAGAAGTTTTCCGATGGGTCAATAGGTATGACCTTCGTTCCGGGTACCTTGCAACGTGCCGACATCGGCACCAAGCCGCTGCCAGGAGACCGGTTAAAGGAACTTATGATCCAATGGGGCTTTGTGGGGCCGGACGACGAACCTCCCTGTGCAGCGGTTGACGCGCCAGGAGAGGATCCAAACCAGGAGCCTCCTAGAGATGAGACTATGCAGTTGAAGGCTATCAGCGCTTGGCTGTGCGCATTGACAGCAGCGTCCTGGCTTGGAGTTGGTGAAAGTGTGAAGCTGGATGATGAAACCATGTGTCCAGTCGTCTGGGAACAGTCACAAGGGTCCATGAAAGTTGACTATTCCTTTGAGCTGTATGCATGCATCATTCTTGTCATTGTGGGATGGGAGTTGGTTAGGAGGTTTATAGGCCTTGGATGTAGGTGGGGTTTTAGGAGTGTGCAAGCTCGCTCGCGCCAGGCGAGGCTTGAGCAAGCAGTTGCCCGTGAGCTCCGAGCTCACTTCAGTGCTTCTGGAGTACCGCCTCCGCCTCCGGCCGCAGCCTCAACAGTGACCTTTGCTCAGCAGGGTGAGGGTCAACCATCATTCTCCGGGCTACCGAGCCCGCCCCGCGTGCCGCAAGGAGACATCCATGCTCCGACTACCTCTGTGCATTGGCATTTCACCCAAGTGCCTCCACCACCTGCAATGCCACCTACTGTTCCAGTTCCTCCTCCTCTCCCGCAGGCCAGTCACCGCGCTTCCTCAGCACCACCGGTGCAGCGCCAGGGTATTAGGACTAGGGTGACTAGAGCGGTTTCGAGGGAGCTTCAGAGGCAGGCCCAGGGACGTCAAGGTCCTCGTAGAGTGGATGCAAGTACACAGACTCATGTTCATGCTGATTTTAGCGTGTGTATGCAAGATAACTTGCTTTCTACTCGCAGGGGTCAAGCACAGTCCATTTTTTCAGAGAGTGCCCTTATCTGACGCATTCTACTGCTATTGATAATCGTAGCTTTTGCACTTGGTGTGCAGACAGACGTCAGAGATGGGGCTGAGGCTCTCGAAAGAACAAAGTTGTCCAATTTGATGAGTCACTCCTAACGGAGAACTCAAGGAGGGGTGTTGAAGTACAGAAAGCCCAAGCCCCTTCTTCCTTTGCATGCTTTTGCAGTTGAGCTGTAGTTCAGAACTCTTGTTGTGCATCACGATGGAGGCTCCAGTAGCAGGCCCCTGTGCATGGATGACACGACTTGTCATCTACTTCAAGTGCGAACGCACAAATCGAGAAGTGTACCGAAAGCGCAGAAGGGTGACATGCACACGAACATATCAGCACTTGTACAGCAGTAGTGCTAACTTTCGCTGTAGTGTGAAAAAGCAAAGGGTTGACTTCGTCCGCGCTGAGAGGGTTCATGGTTCTGAGCTCCTGAGGAACCCTCGGGGGATCATCCGATAAACTTGGAACGATACTTCTCTTCGGGAGGAGACGAGCTATGAATTCAGCAGGTGACCCTGACAACCCCAATCTTCATGATCTACCTCATGACGTTCAGCAGGTTATGAGTGCCCAAACTGCGTGGCCAGCGCCTCCGGTCAACGGCCAAAGAGTCTTGGTGACTCAGCAAGGCTATGGCACTATGGAGAGTGCAGCGCCTTTGGCTCGGGAAGTCTTGGTGACCCAGGGCCATGGTGCTGTGGAGAGTGCGGTACCCGAGACTCAGCTGAGAACTTCAGGAGTTGCAGAGACACAGGAATCGCTGGAGCAAACGGATGTGCTTCAGCAAGCCTTGAGTGGAACAGAGACTTTTCAGTCTCCGATGACACCAGGAGCAGATGCTGTGCAACCCTCTTCTACTGAGGTTCTTTTCTCGCCGTCTCAACTGCAGAGGCTTGAGGAGCTTCGAACACAGGCTCCGCTTCTGTATCCCAGTCAGCAACCCGCTTCTGAGATTCAGCCTCCGCCCGGGCGGGCTCAGGTTGAAGTCCAGCAGGCGGTGACGCCGCAGTCTTCAGCTTCTTGTAGTGCTGAGGCCATTCAGGCCGAAGTTCGTAGACAGCTAGCTAGCATGAATCAGGCTCACGAGTTACGGATTCGAGAGCTTGAGGAGGAAAACCGTAGGTTGAGGCAGGGCTCTGAGGCTCCTATGGTTTCGAGGTTGGGAGGTGTTTTGAGTGGGTTTTAGGCGGTTTGGGTTTGGCGCCTACTCCGCAGCCTACCAGCACTCCTGATTCCTTCCTTGCGCCTCGTCTTCAGGACAACAACGCGCCTCGTCCACCTCCTCCACCTCCTCCACGTGTGCAACATGCAACCTTGTCGACGTATGGAGCTGTGGAGCAGCACTCGTCACAAAATGCAGCATGTCAGCAAATGCAAAGTTCCGTGTTCCTTCAGGGGTGTCACACTGGCCTGAGTGCACCGATTGCACCGGCGCCTCCCCAATCCCCTGGAGGACCAACCATCGCAGCACTTGGTTCGTATGGTTTTGTAGGGGTCGGGCCTAGTCCTATAAGCCCTCCACCTGGCCATCCTGCTGGCAACCCCCCGACACAGGGAGTCGTGAATGCCAATGCCGCTATCTTACCTTCGGGTTTTGGGAGCGTAGGTAGTCATGATCCTGACTTAGGGGTACCCTTAAGTGCACCACCCAAAGCCATGCAGCCCCCAATGCTTCCGCAAGCCGTGTCGGCGGAACCTCCCGCTCTGGAGCTTTTGGTGGCTGGTATGCGACAGCTTCAAGAAGCTACTTTGAGATCTGTGGATAGTCCTAGTAAGGGTGAAACTGTAAAGCCAGGCCTCAGTACTTTGCCAACCTTGGTAGAACCAGGCCCCGAAGCACCAGTAGACTTCCAAGATTGGGCATACTCCATAGGACCCGCGATGCAAGACCTTTCCGATAACAGTTCGGAGTGGTGGGAAAACATTTTAGTCGCTGCTGAGAGTTACTACACTGAATTCATCAGACTTGACCCTGTTGCGAGGCTAAGCCACAAACCCCAACAGAATGAGGTCTTGAAGCAGGCAAGATGGAAAAGGGTAGAGAAACGTGCAGAGACTCTTTTGTTAGCAGCTCTTCCGAAATCAGTCAGAGAGGAGTGCGTAGCGGGAAGATTGTCCGGAGTGCTTTCCATCTGGTGTAGGGTTATGATCATCTATCAACCTGGATCGCTACTTGAAAGGGCCACGGCTCTCAAAAGCCTAGAGTCTCCAGGAGAAGCAAGCGATGCTGCTTCAGCAGCAAGGAGCTTGAGGAAGTGGAATCGCTGGCTGCAAAGGGTTCGCAGTGTTGGAGGTCAACCTCCAGATGCCACCATACTCATTCGTGCGCTCACCGCGGTATGCAAAAAACCATTGGAGATGAATGTGGAAGCTGGATTTAGGGTTCAGCTGGCGCGCTCAACGCTTAAGATTGACACCAATCCGACCGCAACAAAGGTTGATGAGTTGCTCAGTCTGTTGTTAGCTGAAATGGAGAACTTGGGGCATCAAACGTATGCAAAGTCAAAGCCGGTTTTGGCACAGACTCAGGTTCCACCAGTGAAACCTCCCCCGCCTCCACCATCCGCCATGCAGCCGCAGCAAGTACAACAATCTCAGCAAACGCAGCAGCCCAAAGCTACAGCTAAGTCGAAAACCCCGTGCCGCAACTTCCTCACCAATGATGGGTGCTCACGTGGTGCGAAGTGTGGTTTTGCACATGACACGTCAAGTTTATCTCGAGCTGAGCGTGGGAAGCGTTGCTTTAACTGTGGGAGCACAACGCACCGGGTTGATGAGTGTAAGGCCCCTAAACCTGCGCCGGCCGCTCGCAAGGGCAAGGCGGATGAACCCAAGAAGCCACCCAAGGTTGCAGCTGTGGAGCCTAAGGCCCCAACGGTCGAGCCTAAGGCTACCCCAACTCCGCAGCCGGTAAACCCGCCAGCGAATTCGCAACCCAGTGAGACGTCGTCTTCGTCAGAGAATGTCAAGCTGAAGGCAATGATCGCCGAGGCACACCAGATGCTAAAGGACCTTCAAGGCTCGACGTCAGGCCAATCAAATTCAGGAGGTGACGGAAGGATGCCACGGATGGCATCGTTGTGGTCAGACCTTCCAAAGCTGCCGGAGCTTCCCAAGCTTGCTCCTTGTTTCGCTCAGTCTGCATTGCTGGACAGCGGTGCAACTCATCCGCTGCGACAGGCGCGCAGTGCCGAGGAGAAGAGCTCAGCAGCGGCTGTAGATGTCGTACTTGCGGGAGACGCCAGAAGTACAGTCTTACAAACTTCCACGGGCACGCTGCTTGCTGATAGTGAAAGGGCTCAGACGATTATACCTTTAGGAGCGCTTATATCTGAACTAGGTTGTGACTTCAGGTGGTCACGCAAAGGCCTGAAGTTGTTTCATCCAACGCTGGGGTACCTCAAGACTTCAATCGTCGAGGGGTGCCCCCAGCTAGCCGAGACCCAGGCTTTGGGACTGATTGCTGAGTTGGAGCAAAGCCGATTGAACGATTTCACAGCACGCCTTAACGAACTCGAGGCGCGACTCCAGGCGACCGAAAACATTCAGCCATGGATTGTTGCTCTTGAACGCTTTGTTAAAGGTGGGGATAGAAGGGATCTCATGCTTGCAATTGAGGGGATGTCTTTCTTCGAAGCATTGGATGCCAGAGCGCTGGTATCTATGGTGGAAGGGATTGATTTGGACAAGGGCTGGGAGTACCTCAAGTCAGTAAACTTGTCCCGTGCAAAGCGCAAGCGTCTCTTCCACTCAGACTGTTGGTTCGTGCAATGGGATGATGCTGGCCGTGGCAAGGCTTATGATCCCTTAACCCATCTTGCGGAGTTCGGAGAGGTTCTTTGCTTAAACCCGCAGGCTGATGCAAGCTTTGACTTGGAACAACGCAAGGGTGCGTTCAGATGCTTGCTGTGGGCAGCTGCAAAGGGCAAGATCGGAGGGATTATGGGTTCTTTCTCAAAGCGGCTATGGACCTCCGCATGCGAGGCCGGGAATCCAAGGCGAATTGGTCTGGTGCTTCAACCACTGCTTCTGTGGACCATCAACTCGTTGTCAAGATCGAGCCCTACTCCCTGTGCCTTTAGCGTCGAATCGAAGGCGTTTCAGACTGGGTCCATTGTGGTTGACTCACCCACAAGGGCATGGGAAAGTTTCTCCAAGCTTTTTGGAATGGCCAAGGTAGAGGTGGATCTTAAGGTTTTCAACCCTTCAGAACCTCAGGGGCAGGTTGCAATCATGACTACGCTACCTCTGTTCCATTTACACCACCTCAAGCCCTCATCGTACTCACCGGGCCGCGCGCCTGGTGCCCCCTTGGACAATCCAGAGCCAAGAGTGGGTAGTGGTTGGTGTTTAGGTTTGAGGTGGGAGGTTCTTGAAGCCTTTCGTCAGACCTATGGCCGAGGCCAGGTGTCCAGGAGTTCACTTTATCAGGAAGTGTTGCAACAGGCTGATGAGCGGATTTGCCAAGGGTTGAGAGAGAGTTCCGATTCTGCCAGTTTGGCGAGTTCAGAAAGCACCGCAGAGCGGGTAACTTTGGGCTTGGGGTGTAGCGAGGGTGACTTGGACACAAACTGTCGTACCTTTTGTTCACACAGGATCAAGAGATTTCCTGTCAGAAGGGCCAGAGACACTGTTGTTGTCAACCGTCCTGTGCCACCATCAATCGTGGCGGAAGCTCATGATGCTCTCCTTCTGGGGGCTCAATCATTGGATGGGGCCGAAGCGTCGCGCACTGATGGCTGTGACAGCACGCTTGATTTGTCAACCGTAGTGCCGTCTTGTACACATGAGGTCGAAGAGGATGACTCGCCTCATCTGCAGGCAATCTCTGCGAGCCTCCTTGATGAGTGGCGAAGGCATCTTTTAGCCGATCACACTCCATATCGGAGAGATTGTGCCACTTGTGTTCAAGCAAAGGCTACTGGCTTTCGACATAAGACAGTGAAACACAAGAATCCCGCCACGTTGAGCTTGGATGTTGCAGGCCCTTTTAAGGTGAAGGGTAAGCCGGTTGAGGGTTCTGTAGGGCGCGAGCTGCCTTTGCGCTACCTGCTGGTGGGTTCTTACAGGGCGCCTGAGATGATCTTTAGGCCGGATGTCCCGGAACATCCTGAACCGGTTGAGGGCTCAGAGCATGAGGAAGGAGATCCTTTGGAATTGGAGGAGTCCCCAGAGGAACACACTGCTGCACCTTCTTTGTCAGAGGCGGAAGATTTAGATCTGCCGGAGCTTGATGATGGAAGGGGTGTGGGCTCGATGGAAGGGTTGGTTTCAGAAAGGGATGCCTTCATAAAAGAGGTAAAGGATCTTCAAAGACCAGTTGAGATGAAAACTGTGGTGGTTGCTAGAGCCATGGCTTCTAGAAAGAAACAAGAGGTTCTTCTTCACATCCAGGAGATGGTGATTGAGCTTCGCCGCCACGGGCTAGTAGTCTCGCAGGTACATAGCGACCGTGCGAGAGAGCTTTTGTCCGGCCCTGTTCGCAAATGGCTTGCAGCTGAAGGTATAGACCGCTCAACAACAACGGGCATTGAACCTGCCGCTAACGGAGCAGCCGAGAGCGCGGTGAAGTGGATCAAGGGAAGGATTCGTGCTCTTTTGTTTTCCTCAGCCGCACCTGTCAAACATTGGCCATCCGCTGCTCAGCACGCTGTGATCAAGCAGATGCGTGAAAGGCTCCCTTTGGGTGATGGTGATAAGTCCTTGCCAACCTTCTTTTCGACAGTGTATTTCCGTGAAAAACGGTACGGGATCAACACAAAGGAGGAATTGATGCCTAGATGGACTGAAGGAAACTACCTTGCACCATCACGCCTTGTGTCAGCCGGCCACTGCGTGTTGAAGAGCAACGGAGAGATTGCACCGGTTAAGGGTTTGAAGCCGTATGTTGTCAGGATTGAGGATCATGTTGAGCTTCCCGAGTTTGAGGCCTTCCAAGATGCTCCCGCTAGGCGCGTGAAAGGGAAGACCTCTCTGGTTGGTCCACATGATCCCAGCGTGTCTGCCTTGACGACTTCTCCATCAAAGGGCGAATCTTCGCAGCAGCGAATCTTAAGGGAAAGTGAGGCATTAGCCAAACAACTCTTGAAAGAAAAAGATTTTTCCCAGGAGGGGTGTCACCACCTTTTGAGCACTTCGGGTTTGAATGTTAAACCGGTTGCAGCTGCTAGAGTGTCCTTTCCCAAC